GGGCGGGTGCGATTTGACGTACCACGTACCCTCTGTCGCCTCAGTCACAACCATTCGACGTTTTGACGAGGTGGCAGGCCATCCATTAAGTACGCTCTGCTCATCCAAGTGCAGAACTGTTCTACTGTTATAAGAGTATAACTGAAAAGTTCTGCAGTTCCAAGTGCGATTTTTTGACCAGGACTAAAATCATCAATGATGATACAATCGTCTTCGTCTTAAAATTCTCTTTCAAACGAGCATATATAGGATATGGTTACGTCTTAAATTAAAACAGGTTGGTGAAAGAATACGAATATCTAGAATTACTTTTGAGGACTCGTATCCGTTTCAATTTACGTCACAACCCTATTATATACACTCGTTTGAAAGATAATTTAAAGACGAAAACGATGGTGTCCTCAGTAAAAATGGAATATCAAGAAACGTCAAGGGAGGCATTTCCCCAACACCATGGAGTTTTATAAAAATCTTGAACGGTAAATTTCTTCTAACATCTTACTAAAAACGTCCTCATAGCACATCAACCCAGATTTTTGTTACTTGTTACAAAAGAGTTATTACACTCTCGTATCAAGTAATAAAAGCGTAATAAGATTTCACAACGTTGTTTAACATGTTCCTCCTATGGGTGGGCGGTCGACCTCTTGAACAACATACGTTGCTGTCGCTCTCCTCCCTCGTGAGGAATCCGTAGCCTACTGGTTTGGTTAAGGAAGGACGTGGCGCAGCCCCAATAAGGTTCGAGGTTCGACTCCAGTTTGAATCCAAGGTAAAAAGTTGATTTAAAGTCCGGAAAGGAGATCAAAAGGGTGAGGTAGAGGGAAGTACAATCTAGCTTCCCTCTACCTCCCCCTTTTGATTAGACCCCCCCCCCCTTTTTTATAAAAAAAGTCATAACTGGGTAACTTCTAGGTAATATGTGGGTAATTACTGAGAAATTTCTAGGAAATTACTGGGTAATTACTGGGTATAGCGAAAATGCCTTATATAAGAGAATTATAACTTTGTAATTTAAATTTCATAAACATTTTATTTAATGTTATAATGGCCACTTTCAGAGGGGCGGTTTCCCTTGGAGTGCTCTCGTGGAAAGCGGTTCCCCGGACTCTTGTTCCATGAATAGCATCTGTCCATGGTAAAACGCCAATGGAAACACACACCACATGGAATGTGATGATCCTAGGCTCACTCATGTGTGAGCTCACATAGAAAACAGACCTCTACCCATGGAATAGACATCATGGAACCCCATGCGATCCATGGGATTCTGGGACTGGGACTTGCCAGTTTGGCAAGACAAATTAATCCGGAGGGTCAGTGTTTAAAATTGGAAATGCCGTCACTGAGGTCTGCAATCTGAAGCGTATACCTAAATGCACGCTTATCTCCCGATGACTGGCTGAATTTGCGCACTTGATCCGGTCTTCATTTTTTCATGGACCCCTCTCATATGTTGTGCAATCGGAAGCATATAGTTACACTGATATGAGTTTAACACTGATTTCGAATCTCTACAAATAGAAGTGTGTGACATTAGAAAGCTTAAAGTATAAACTTGCCAAAATGTCACAAGTAAAAGTGTTCGTCTGCCTGATGAAGTAACAACAACGATGCTACGATGCACCCCCCCCCCCCCTCCCCCGTCCAATACCTGTCCGCCGCTACTCGAAAATATTAGAACACAGCCATACTCTTAAATTTGTATCATCTGCAATCAAGATCGATCAAGATCAATATTCTTAAATAGGAGACGGTGAGATGCGGGAGGGGGGCCTCTGGTAGAGACAGTCTTAAGGGACTGCCTAAAAAGGAAATGTTTTCTAAGTTTTGTCACTTTTTAAAAATCTTTCAAATTTACTTGATAGTATTTTATTGTTAGAATAATGTTACCATGATTATACAACCTTCAACTACCTGTAAGCAACTCAATGTTATCCGGGGTTGTCATACTCCAACCTCAAGGAAAGTCGACGAATTATTAGCGATGACGTAGTGTACGCCGGCTCAAGTGATTGATAGTGCCCACTTATCCGTTCGCTCTTGTGGAACAACCCTCCCACCGGGTGGACGCTCGTTCTCAAGAGCTCTATTCAGAAACAAGTAGCATTCCCAAGTGCACGTGTATCTCGCCTTTATGTGTGCCCTAATAAGGGCAACACCCTAATCAGTCCCATTCTAGTACCAAAAGAGTCCGTCTCGTTTTTAGGGACTAAAAGAGGATTTGGAACTTGAAAATCCCTTTGAAATCCCTTTTTTATGAAATCCCTTCGAACTCCCTTCTGACCCCGCCACGCCGTTTTTTGGTGTAATCTGAAAATGGTGAAGGAAGGTTCCTAGGCAATTTTTAACATGACAGGTGTGATCATATGGTCGGGAAGTATCCGGGCTGCTCACGATGTGGGTCCTCCGAGCTTCCAAAGCGCACTCGCGGCCACGGCATGTACTCTCCTATAGCTTCGACATCTGGTGGCACCTCTCGCGCGTTGCGGCTTAGGGCAGGCCCCTCAACCTCACAGCGCCGCCGAGCCACAGGCGAGGTATGTAACACTCCTTACGCTCTTTCGAGCGGTTGTGTGCATCTCGGATCCAAAGCTCCGTCTCGGTCACTTTGGCGCGAAATCCATCAACTGCTTGAATGAAAGTCAGCTGCCTGCGGCCATCCGCCGCCGCTCGAGTGAGCAGTGCGAGTCGTCTCACTCGTACCCACTGGTGCAGCGAGAAATCAAAGCAGTTTGAGCGACAGTCGAACCCACGACCGCCTGGTCTGCCAGCACCGGCGCGCCGACGCCCTAGCCCACTGAGCTACCGCTGCGCTCAGGATACCCGGCGACCCGGTGCGGCGCGTTCTGAGGTCTCTTTTGCTCCCACACACACGGACTAATCGGACTATTAGAGATAGTAAGAAGGGGAGATATAACAATATTAATTACTGTAATAGTAACTACTGGCATAGGGAGAGTCGCCACCGCGTCTTTCTACATCGCGAGTCGCATCGGTTTGGAATTTGAATAAATTTCTCTTTTTTGTGTTTTTGACAATCGGCTGTGTTGATTTAGTTTATTGAGATTCGAGTGACAGCTCCCTTGCTCCTCGCAGCCCTGACTAGTATTTCCGTTGGAGCAGAACCCTAGCCGACGCCGCTGCGACGAGCACCAGCCACGCTCTGGTCGGGGCTGGAGCGGACGACGGCATGTCCACGACCGGGACGGCCCGCCGGTCCGCCAGCTCGATCCAGAAGGATGACGAGTCCTTGAGGCTGCGGTTGTAGCTGCCGCCATGGTAGTCGACGTGAATCAGACCGAACGGGCGGCTGGAAAGGGAAACAATGTTGCCATTATTGTATGCGGCCAGTGCAGACTGTTGGGTGCGACCGCTGCAGGCAGGACTTACTCGTAACCCTGGCTCCACTCGAAACTGTCGATGAGACTCCAGGCGCAGTAGCCGATCACGCGAACACCCAACTCCCTCACTGCCGATACCATGGACCGCAAGAAGGCCTACCAGAATAACCCGCATGTTATTTTCTGAACAAACACACAACTAAGTTTCGCCCTTAAAAGTATTTGAAAACATTTTTTCTTGCAGCACCGTACAATGCTGCTCTAGTCTGAAATCTAGACTTACACTGTAATACACAGCTCGCTTGTGGTCCTCTACACCAGCCATGTTTTTGTCTCCGACGCCGTTCTCTGTGATGATGATGGGCTTCTTGTACTGGAACCAAGTCCAAGCCAAGGCGCTTCTCATGGCATCTGGCGCGATCTGCAAGGGTCCACAACGAACGCGATGTTGATGTCGATGGGATTGAGAAAGGGATGAGGATTGTTTAGCCGACAAATTAAATACCATGTTGAGGGGAAATTTGTCAATTGTGCCACCCTGGGAGTCGCGGTAGCCGACATTGACGAAGTTGAGCTCCTGGAAGAGCTGTCGCAGTGGCATATCGACGGCCATTTGCGTGGTTTTAGGGTCCCGGTAAGACACCAACATGCCGTAGTACACGTTTAGGCCAATATAATCCGTCGAGTCTGCAAATTGGATTTAAAAATTTAAAGAATGATATGATACGCAGTCTTACAGTTTCTCTACGCCAATAATAATCAATTAGTGTATTTGGGTGAGACAGTTTGGTTATGTAGTAATTTCCACTGTGAAAAATAGTAGGTAGGTTTACAGGAAAATTTTCCTTGACGCAAGTTGTAAAATTACAATTTGGAATCGTAAAAATACATGCAGAACGTATCGACTTAAAATCCATTGGCGAGTAAAAAATGTGCTCTCGTAAAATTACAACTTAAATTATAATTCAAGTTTACAACATTTTTGTAAATTTCCGACATTTTTTACACACTGTAAAATGCTTACGAACAATAAGTTCGTACTGCAAACCAAAACGTTCACAGCTTACGAAGGATTTTGAAGCGTCGTATTACGAACTAGTTGTTCGTAAGACCCTTTCTTGCCTTACAAACAATCGCTTTGCACAAAGAAGTGTAGCAGGTGTGTGACACATACTAGGACATTTGGTGGGTCCTGCCTCGTATAACTGTTGGTCACTGTGTCCCACACTTTATATACAATAAAAAATTGCAGGGCCAATTGTGCCCTTGAAGAGAACTATTTCGGGAGAATTCTGGTTTACTCACTCTTTATCATGGCCTTCTCGTCCTCTGTGAAAACGGGCAGTTTGTTCTTGGCGAGCTCCTTGACGGTGGGTGGGTAGTCGCCGAACACCAGGGGGTGCAGCAGCATGCCGGTGAAGAACTGGTTGAAGGCCTCGGAGGCGTACGCGTCCTCCGTCCGCGTCGAGTTTGGCCGCGAGTTCAGAGTCGTCACCGTGAAACCGATCACCCCTGCAACGCGTTCCACAATGCAAAGCCCCGTATCTCACGCGAATCTAAATGGTCGAGCTGGTGCGTACCGTCGTGGCCACTCGCCGCCAGCGCCTTGTGCGCCTCGCCGTGACCGAGGATGAAGTGATGGAGGCAAGGGTAGACATTCTTGGCATCCTCTGGCTCGAGAACCTCGGCCTGCACCTCCAGGTTCGGCCAGTATGAGCAGTATACGTTGGGCTCGTTTATCGACGTCCACATCTTGACCTAAGCCCGAAAACAAAATGCATTATTTTCTTTCACCAAGTGAGAAGGAAACCTTCCATCGATTTACTTGTACCACACCACACGCTACCTTGTGGCCGTACTCTTTGAAGATAAATGTAGCGTATTCACGGAACTTGGCGACCATCTTCTTGTTCAACCAGCCCTTAAATTCTTGTTCTAATATTGCAGGATGGTCAAAGTGGTACAAGGTGACCTTGAGAAAATAAAATATCGTTGAATATTAAAAATTCAAAGACCATAACAGTGTAGGACATCATTTAGGTTATTATAGTTGGAAGTACGAACCAGGGGTGTCATGTTGTGCGCGTGGATTTCGTCAATGAGGTTGTGATAAAACTGCACGCCCTTCGGATTGGGCTTTGAAGCGTCTGCTTCAGGTAGAACCCGTGCCCACGAGATCGAAAAGCGGTACATTTGTAGCTGCGACATACACATATATGTCAGTGTGATTGGGAGTCGCGTTCACTTTGTTCCTCCGTTCACGGTTCAAGTGGTGTACTTACCTTCAGCTTAGCGGCCATCGCGACGTCGTCCTTGTAACGGTGGTAAGAGTCCGCCCCTCCGTCATGGGTGTGCGCAGCCTGAAAGCCGTGGCTCTCCAGCTTGCCGGTGTGGAAAACGTAGTCGATCAGACTCTCTCCTTTACCTGCAATTAAGTGAAGTCTGCATTCGGTGTTGACGCCCTCATGGGAAAATCTCGTCGAATCCACGTAGAATCTATAGTCAATTTCTATCTATCTACAAGATAACGTGATTTCTACGTCGAGTCGACGTGAATTACGTATATTCACGTGTAGCCAGCGTAGCATCTCCGTGGATAGGGTTACGTGGACGCCATTTCCCATGTCGGGAGGTACGGCGGGGTAGGCAAATTCTATGTTATTTAGACCCACGGTGTTAGGCACGCTGCACCTAACGTGTTGGGCGGGAAACATTTATTCGTAGTCTCACCGTCCTCGTCCCAGGCGCCCTCCGTTTGGATGGCGGCCGTCCCCGCGCCCACCAGGAGGTCGTCTGGAAGACCGAAGGCCTCTTGGTCCGCGGGGGTGGGCGACCCCCTCACCAGTGAGGACAAGGTGGCGATGACGAAGATTGCCCGAATCATTGCTGCTGCTGCAAACTAATTAAGTTGGTTATGATTTTTTTCATCGATTGCTTTAATTGTATGTGTTATCCCTAACACGCTCCCTCCCCCTTACGCTTAGCGTACCTTTGTTTCGAAAATTGCAAGATGCTGTAGAGGAGAGGGTCTTTGGATGTCAGCCCTGGGCAGGTGCAGAAGTCACTACCGAATGCGTTCTTGTGGTCGAAATTTATATACGGCAGAGATTGATAGAGACGCAGTGCCAGACATATTGCTCAACGCGTCGCGGCGAGTGCGCTGACGGCTAAAGATGGCTGCGTAGGGAGACGCGAATCTCCGAAATCCTGATAATTTCAGGTCAAGGCAACATTTTTCCTGGGATCCTTTTATCTGTTATGTAACGCAGTCATGTTCTATTCCTTTTTTAAAGAGGGGAAGGGACAGTCACCGAAGGGCGAAGGGCATTGGCAAACCCGTAACGCTACGGTGTCCGCTTCGGGTACACTGTATAACAGTAGTTTTACAACCGCTCGTGATTGGCTCAATTTGCTCAATTTGATTTTCTGTGATTTATATCCGTGATGTATTTAAAGGGGAACTCACTCGGGTAACAGTGTTACTTATTGCGCATATTTCGGGATGTTCCACGGTATATCACAGTATTTTGGAGGTATTTTGCCGCTAATTCATCATATTTTGCGTATTTAAAAATATTTCCAGAACTCAGTAAGCTATGATTTAAAAAGGTTATAAGATTTTAGTGTATATTACGAAGTATTAAAATGTATTGCAGCTAATACAAGTACTCAAAAATTGTTCGATCAGTCGGACTAGTCACAGCAAACAAAATTTCAGTTACAGCAACTAAAATTTTGATGCCTATGACTATACCGGACGGATCGAACGAAATTTGATCGTGGCAATCAAAATTTTGATGGCTGCAACGAAATATATTTCTCTCAGTGTATTACAATGTATTACAGGTAATACAAGCATTACAATGTATTACAGGTAATATAAGTAATACGAAGCGTAGCTATAAAGTTAGTATTGCGTAGTATTGCGTAGTATTGCGCAATATTGCGCAAGTAATATATGGTGGGTAATACAAGGTAATACGCGGTAGTACAAGGTAATACACAGTAGTACATGTCAATATTAGGTAATACATGTTTTTCCAGTAATATCAATGTAATACAGAACCCCGGGATAGGGGATACGCGACTTGTTCACCCCTTGATTCTAGTGAACTATCAGATCAGGCCTGCGATTCGCACGCAGGGGCAGAGCTCGTGAGTGTCCCGTGCCCCTGTGCTTGACAGTTTCATGTCCCTTTCCGAGATAACGCGTCCTACAATCACTGCAGTATATAAAGCGCGACCACAAGATCCCATTCGCTAAATTGTCTGGTGTCATTTCTTAAATTTTGATATTCCGACGATCTACGAGAGAGCAGGAACGAGGTTGTTCTGTTCATGTCAACTTTGGTTGGCTGCTGAAGTTTCAAAAATTTATTTGCATTTTGGCTCACTACACAAAAAATGAAAAGAAGACACTACAAATTTTGCTGCATTTGAATTGGTGTTCTTTTTGCTTCAAATCTTTGTCTTGTATGATCGGTTGCCGTTTTTCTCACCACGCGTACTCAGGATGATTTTCGACCCTGTAAGTAGAATGGTATTAGTTTTTACCACAACTCACTGAAAACAAATGTGTGCAACTAGCATGCATCACATAACAGTGCTCAACTTCATGGTGCACACATTGAGGTGATACCCTGGAAGTGTGAATACTTCATAGAGTTTAACAGTAAAATTGAACATTATTTATACAGTGTTCGACTTTAATGTTCAATTCTGAAACGCGACCGGTCGCGCGCAGGTCCATCGTTGTTCACCGGTCGCGAACAGATCCGCCTTTTCTCGACGGACACGTCTAACGTTTAAACACGTTTCAATTTTTAAATATCCAATCAAACACTTAAAAGTGTGCAATATACTGCGATGTGAAGCACTTGCATGTGCACTCCAGTTGCAATCTTTCTTTATCAGTGTAATCAACGTGACAATCTGTACGACAATTTTACCTACCCTAAAACAAATTTCATGTCGATGATGCGACCGTCTTCACCACGATCCAGGGCGTCCAATTTGGCCATGTCTTCTGCGCTCAGTTCAAAATCGAACAACTACAAAAGATAATGTTTACATGTTTTAAGTGTAGTACCGAGTGTTCTGGAGCACGCGCCCATGCGGACGGGTGCCTTGATGATCGCCCAGAAAGTACGCCCGTTTTTCTCATTTTCATTCGGTAAATAACGGGAGCTCGGCGCCTGCGAGACTCAAGGTAGGCCATCCCGCAGTGCACGCGTGCACTGCAGCACGAGGTGTGCCTACCTACCAGGCGCTATGAAACCTTACATGGGCTGTACTTGGCTTGCTCGTAACGGCGCAAGACGGACGTAGACTTTCTGGATGATCCCTTACGGGGAGAGGGATAAGGGAAAACCCTCCCGCACTGTTAGAAAAAACCACGGAAAAAACACAGAAAAACTATGGTCAATTTTTTGCCCAGAACGTCCGTCTAAATCTGTGCTGAAACCACAGAGACGGTGCGGAATCAAAGGTACAGAACACCACGGAGCTTCTGTTACAGAACGTCTGTGCTATTCCGTACACCTGCCACAGAATTATTACAGATATTTTCTGTGACTTTTAGCCATTCTTTTCTAGATACAGTTTTGTTGAATTAGAAGGATCGTCGTCTGCGTTCTGCGTAGGATACTTTGGTACCCGAAGTGAGTCAAAAATTCAATTTCATTGACGCTTTAGCACAGGACTGCAGCGCGCGGGAAACTATTTCCCAATTAAAACGTATCAGGGAGGGACACTACATGGTGACCAGGACGGAAGTGATCAGCGAGAGCTAATGTAGAATGCCATCTAGCGGCGTCTTCGGACGCCTTACCACTGAGACACAATATCTGTTACAGATGGGTCCGCAGCCCTTGAATGACAGACTATTTATATGACGGAAGCAATCTGTACGATTCTGTTCTGTTTTTTCTGTGATTTTGAAGCACAGACTTCTGTGTTCACAAAATAACTGAAAATTTCTGTAACAGAAGCAATCTGTACACCTCTGTTGGGAATTTTTCTGTGGTTGTCTGTGGTTTTTCCACAGATTTTTTAACAGTGCGCCTCGGCGTGTGCTTGCTCTGCAACCCCCGGTCCGGTCCCACGTTCGTTCGTTCCGGTAAGAATGGAAGGGGCGAGTAGGGGTAGAAGGGAAAGTATGATAGCTCTGATTCTGTGACTCCTATGCGATCCCGCCAAGCAATTGCCAAAATACGTACCTGAATGTTCTGAGCAATGCGTTCTTCATTTGTACTTTTGGGAATCGCAACGATTCCTCTCTGTACAATGTGTCGCAAAAGCACTTGGGCTGTGGTCTTATTAAGCCTACTGGCTATCTCCACCACGACAGGGTTTGCAATTAAATCTGGAAATGTAACACTGAAATCGGCGTTAGTTGTGATTGTAGGCGTCTTTACCTTTGGTATCGGCACGATATGAACAATTTTTTAATGTAAACGCACTCCATTCCCACGGAGTTATAGATCCTTTCTGAACCTGGGCTGCCCAGAGGCGAGTAGGCCGTCACGGTTATCCCATTTTCCTGGCAGAACTCGACAAGTGGGCGCTGCTGCATGTAGACGTGAAGCTCCACCTGGAGGGTGTTCAGTGAAGCTTAAAACTGTTTAGAGTACCAGCTGGCATGCAGATTGCGTACCTGAAGGTTAGCTGGCTTAATGCGGCAGTTATCAAGTATGCGTTGGATTTGGCGTTGGTTGAAGTTTGAAACTCCAATAGCTTTGGCGCGCCCAGCATCTACCTCCTCCTCCATGGCCTGAAACAGGTTTTATATCAGATATCGTTTCCTGTGTGGAAACTAAGGGAAGTCCTCGTGCCATTAATGGAAGCATGAGCAGTGTTCTGTTCCTGCACTTGCGAGGGAGAAATCACTTGCGTATACTAACTCTTACACCTAGGCATGTACTAGAGTACTAACTCGTCTTAACTGTGAAATAAACGCGTACTTATTGTAGAAATCAAGCGTAACACTGCTGTAATGACAAAATTTTGCATAAATTATGAAAAATTGCGCCAAAAACCGGGTATACTAACTCGTACTAACGTACTAACTCGTAACCTTTTATCCAGAGTGATTTCGCCCTCGTGCAATCGTGAAATTGTTTTTCACTCTCTTTGGTGCTAAAACCTCAGTGCTTTGGGGCTTACTTTTTGTATAGAATTGCAACAAGATTGTCAAATTAATTTCAGTTTATTACTCTTGCAAATCAAGCGTAAAACACCAGTCATTTCAAAAAATTGAACGCGTGAAGGTTTATACACTGTTTTTCAACGAATGTGACGTCACATTCGTTTCAATGTTAATCGTGTCACGTTCGTTTGAATGTTGTGTCATATTCGTTTAAACGTGAATCGGCCAAGCCTGGGCGCCATTAGAGCATCACCTCACCTGAAGTCACGTTTAAATGGATGTGACACAATATTCAAACGAATGTGACATGTTTCACATTAAAACGAATGTGACGTCACATTCCTTGAATAACAGTGTAGCAGTTAAAGAATTTAGTCAGTGCAGTGAGAGCAGCGCCGAAATCTAGCCACGAGAGGGCTGACAGTTGTATAAATAGAATGCGCTTGGAAAATGTTGACGTTGTTCTGCATCGATGATGATCCTAGTGTGGATATGAGGGGGCTGCTAGAGGACTAGGCCGAACGATGCCTCCTAACGACAAAGTTCGATCTTCAGCGGCACGGTTACACAAAGTCCGATCTGCGGCGGCCCGGTTACACAAAGTCCGATGTGCAGCTCCACGGTTACACAAAGTTCGATCTGCTTTTCGCCGCTCGCGGGAGTCGCAAGTTTAGACCTCTACTACATTCTTGTTGCGACAGCTTTCACTTTTTTCTTTGGAGTCTGTTGTTCTTTGATCTTTTACAAACATGAAGTAGTTTTTACCTTTTTTCTATCTGCAATATTGACGAGAATATGAATACCATTAGGCTATGCGCTGCAGAAACCGCCGGAATGTAGATCGAACTTTGTGTAACCGGGCCGCCGCAGATCGAACTTAGTGTAACCGTGCCGCGAAGATCGAACTTTGTCGTTAGGAGGCATCGCGGAGCTAGCGGACACGCGGGCTGCGGTAAGCCTTGTAATGGTTAAGTAATTCAGTAGGGGGGCGGGAGGCATCCCCTCTATTCCCTCTGCTGGGCAGACTCAGAAATGTTTAATTCTAAACACTATGCGCACCTCAGGCCGCCTCCGTCAGAGGCCTAATGACGCAGCATTGCCCTCTAAATGGAGACCCCATCCTTAACACTAATGAAAGCTTACGGTGCTGCGGGGTTAGCCGATTACGCTGAAATTCGCCAAGAGCTTTTAACAGCCCCCCCCCCCCTCTTTACCAACACGCCCACTCCACCCCCGTGTGTGGATCTTGGATAATCACTTCGACCCCAAGCAAGTCGTAGCTCTCGAGACCTCCCTTAGTGTGCGTGTGTGTGGAGGTGTGTGGGTGTGTTTGCTGCACTGTAAAAAAAATGTGATGAAAATGAGAATGTTATGTCTAATTATTTTTACAGCCAATCTCATCTTAAATTTCTTCGTAATCTATTGAATGAATTTTCGGAAAATGACGAAAAATCAGTAATGAGATGTTTGTACAAATAATTAGCCTTGACGTTCTCATCCCCATCACAAGTGTTTACAGTGTGGGACCGCACGAGTTTGTTTGTGGGAGGGGGAGGGAGGGAGAGTGTGTCGAAGCTGCGCACCTTCCAGATGGCCACGTGGTCCGTCTCGAGGTCGAGCCAGGCGTTGCCGTCCTCTCCCCTGGGCAGCAGCTCGTCCCCGCGCTCGTGCAGGCCGAAGGGGGTGTGCACGAGGAACAGGTCCACGTAGTCGGTGCGCAGCTCGCGCAGGCACTTGTCGAGCGTGGGCCGGACGGAGGCGGCCCGCATGCGCGCCGGCGGCAGCTTGGTCACCAGGAAGAGCTCCTCGCGCGTAACCTGTGGCGTCAAAGCTTAGTGCTCGCGCTCTGGGGCTAACGAGGGGTCCTCCACTCCAAGTAGGTCACTTTACCCCCCACTCCCGGACAAAAAAACACAGATGAAATACTAAAATTCAGTTTAAAAAATCGGAAAAATATCGAGAAAAAAGCGGTGTACGCCGGTGTACGCTTGTATTTCTAGTAAACGACCCCTCGGGCTACGGGCTCGTGCACGACGCCCCGCTGCACTGAAAAACCAAATGGTGTAACATACGAACGGCGCACACTGCGGAAATCGTGTCCAACTCTAACAGAGCTGCACACCTAGAATTGCACAACAACCGAGTCGAACATTTGCAAGTGCACAACTACGGAACGGAACACCAGCAATCGCGCACGACTTTAAGCTTGCACGCTCACAAGTGTTTCCCGGTTGCACACTTGGTCATCAGTGTGGTACTTGCCGCACCTTGCCGGTCTCGATCCACATCTCCTGGATCACCTTCCCGATGCTCGCCTCGTTCACGTAAAAGGCCGCCGTGTCGATGTGGCGATAGCCGCACCGGAGCGCGGCGTCGACGGCGGCCTCGAGCTCCTCGGCTGCTGCCTGTCACAGTAATCATACTATGCTTGTTGTTTTGAGGGATTTTACCCTTTTGTTACATTGAACCCCCCATGTCCTTTGGAAATCCAACACTGAAGCACTCTGTTGTGACGACAGTAGAACAAAACGTGCTAAACTCACATCCAGAGAACTATTTTATTGATTCAACCAGATCAGGGTCGTAGGAAGCAAACTAACTACGATTTTGGTACCTTAATTTTTAACTACATTTGGTCGCGTCTATCAAACCTAAGGTAATTTTACTAAATTTAAAATCTAGTTCACTAGCCGAAATCTCGTCGGTTCTTAATCTGGTCGCCTGGACCAAACGGTTCTCTGGGTGCATGGACTTGCCTGCCATGTCCCGTAGCCAAGCAGAGGCATCTGCGCCCCGTTCGGGAGCGTTGCGAAGGCAGGGCACGCCATGATGCGCTGAAAGAAGCTGTACAAGGAAACATATTAGTGAACTGAAAGTGTTGGCTGAGCGCAGGCTCTGCTGACGCACCTGTCTCCAGTACGGCGCCTTTGGTCCGCCCAGGCGTGCCTTCCCTGGACTGGTATACCAGCCGACTGACCCGGAGCTCGGCGGAGGCCCGTCGTCCGTGACCGCCTCGATGAGGGTGAAGGTGGTGGGGTTGTGTGCGTGCGACGCGGCCCGAGCCCGGCGTGTCCTCCGGGACGGATACGAGCGTCTCGTCAATATGTACCGCGTGGCGGGGTGGTCATCATAGAGGCAGGGCAGACCCACATATTAGGGTGCCGCCACACTGGACGCGTCCGGCGGGTCCGCGCCCAGGTATTCACCCTCGATTTATTGAAGCGAACACGCAGTATCGACTCATTCGAAATTCTACACAGCCGAGGATTACAATCCGAGTATAACCCGGGCATCAATATCGACTATCATAAAATAGGGCTACCGGACGTTAGACTGGGGCGTCCAAAAAGTGTTTTGACATTGTGAGCGGGAGGGCATAGTTGCCCAATCAGATTAGACATTTAGCAACTTTTAATTTTGTTCAATTTTTTTTTAAATTAGTATTCTCAACGTTTCTTATGTTGCTAGGACACTTCTTCGCAGTTTTCCTGAACAAATTTTGGTAATGCAACCCTCTAACAAAAACGCGTAAGAATGTTAATATTTGTTGGTGGGGTGCAGGCTAAACAAAACTGTAAATGTTTAAATGTTATTTGTGAAGAAAATGTGTTGTAAGTGTCTTGAAAATACCTCCCAAATTTCTAATAATGTCATCATATGACTTAAATATTCTTTGTTTAGTCAAAGGGTTTTTAAGGTATCGCATCTGCTAAAAGTATAAGCATTTAATTTGCGTGCCAAAAATCTGGGCACAAATGATCACTGTGTGAAACTTTGTTAGGACAAGGGTCGAGCTGTCGTAGGTACGAAAACGGCTGGGGTGAGTTGCCCTGATACCATTTGTTGATTAGTAGTCAATTTTCGAGGGGCGGGCAACAACTCTGTTACCTTTGGGGATCCAATCCAAAAGTCATGCTTTTTCTCTACACCTTAAGTGTATTAGTATATTTCTGTGCAAATTTCTGCATAAGTTAAAACTACGTTTCCTTTCAGACATTTTTTTACGCCAAAATGAACGATTTCTGACTTTTCTGTGCACGGTAAAAAAAGTTTCTTGTATTTAAAGACCTGGTCGTGGATGCCATTGGCATTCTCCATAAGGTCCAAGACTGGGTCTTGAAATACAATAATCTTTTTCACCGTGTGGATGTGATATGTCATAAAGTCTGAACATCTCAGGAATCTTCCTATAAACACTAAATGCATTTGTACTTTTTTGTGCAAACGTTCGTTTCATACAAATTTGTACGCCAAAGTGCATGATTTTCTACAAATGAATGCACAAAAATGTTCAAATCAACGCAGAAATGTGTGCAAAAAATTTGATTGCTTAAATTCGTACAAATAAAAGATACAAATCCAGTTAGTGTATACACTTCGCGATAGAGGTGATGCCCTCTCCGCAATTACATAGCAGCGACAATCGTTCGCAGTATTTTTACAGGGAAACACTAATGAGGACTCTGTGGCGTCAGGTTCAGTTTGCTTCCGCGTCTTTTCGGACGCGTCCCATTTTAATGACACCGCCAGTTCATCGCCAGCTGCGGTCCAGCGATGGCCCCTGTCAGACACCTCCTGCTGTGCTTGTTTCTGTGCGACGGGCTCCCACGGCACTACGGATCAAACTCGCGGTTAAAGAAAGTGCGCACCGCGCAATGTTTGAAACGCAAACGAGTAATGCTGTTCTAAACACATGTGTTTTGAATCTACACCGTTTGGAACTTGCAGGGTCGGGTGTCTGTACTTGAAATCCGGGACGTGAGAATATGTCCAGAGAAAAGCGCATTGGCTTGGATGAATGTGACCCCGATTCTCTTTGGAAAAACTCAGCAGACTTTCTTCGAGGGTATCGCGCTATTCGACAGAACGGCGACTTCCTGGTCAGAGGTAAGAAATGAGGGCTGGACCGCTGACTTCTGTGCCACCACCTATCCCCTCTCTTCGCGTTGCAGATGAGCGTCAAGTTCACCAAGTGTCGCGGTGGAGTTTCCTCAAACAACTGCGAATATAAGTCGACGTGGTCTAGGAAAAACAACGTCTGCGCAGAGTTTGCCTCTCCCCTTACACCGTGGTATTCCCTCCTCAGTACGGTCAAGCCGCCGTGGACATGCCCCACCAAAGCGGTACGTATTAACCAACAACTCCTTCCCTTTTTAATAAAAAAAAATCTTATTTATTTGTTAAACCCACGTGTCTGCCGACATTCTGCCACTTTTGCTGTTTTGCAGGGAATATACGATTTCCATAACACCACTCTGGACGCGTCGGTGTTCACTGCATTGGCGGGAAAATACGTGAGCCCTGATGTCACGTGGTTAGTGCGCGCATTGGTGAAGGACCAGGACCGGAATCTGTTCATGTGCGTGGACATTATAGCACGAATCCTCCCTTCAGCCAGAAAGAGTCGCAGTTAAATATAAACTTCAGCACACTTTCTTAAATTTATTGCATCAAAAATGTTAATTTTTGTGTTTTTTTATTATTTGAGATGTTGGGCTGGACATATGTGTCTAGTTGAAGTCTAATAAAATGAAGACAAACAGACCGCGTGCTCGCAGTGACCACCCACACTTTATTTTAGTCACGTCGTGAAGATAAATTGATCGCCAAAATAGCAGCCGGGATGAAGAACAGAAGGCACGTCCCAGAAGCCGCCCAAAATCCGTTCTGAAAAATTAGTAGCATTAATAATTCGAGTGTACTACAGAGAAGGTTCTAAAAGCACCCACTAATAACACGTCAAAAAAAAAATAGAAAAGGCTTGCGCATTATTTTCTTGTCCCTAATTTTCACTGGTAAAACAAGTGTGCATAATTTAAACACCAACGTGTTTAAGTTATGATTTTAAACATTACATGCTTTTAGCTCAAGTTGCACACTTGCGTGGTGTGCACATTTTAAACGTTTTGTAAACGTTTAGATTATGCACACTTGGACACACACAAATCTATAGGAACCATATGGCGTGCAGCTGCTATACTTTTCGGAAGTGTTTAAAGCTTAAACACCAGGTTTCCCCTTTGACCGACCTTATGTAAGTACACGCAGCGTCGAGTGCGTGCACAAATAACTATTTGTATGATGCGCACGCAGAATTTTGTGTACAGAAACCCGTGCGCATATTTTTTTTCTGGGATAGATTACACGCTGCGTGTTGTATACTCCAAAATAGTTATGCGCACGCGGAATTTTCTTTTAAACGTGCGCATGGTGAAACGAACAGAACAGACATGACGCGTGCGGACTACAGCGCAATCGGTACACCCAGAAAAATTGTTTCTTGATTCAAGTAAATTTTTCTTGTTTCAAGTGACGCTGACACAAGATGAAATTTACCATTGAAACAAGGCAATATTGCCTTTGGAATAAGATTTTTGTCTTATTCGAAAGAAAATATCAGCTTGATTCGTGGGTAAATTTGATCTTGTGTCAGCGTCACTTGAAACAAGAAAAATTTACTTGAATCAAGAAACAATTTCTCTGGGTGTATGCGCACGCGCGGAATTCAGGAAGATATCCAGTTAGCGTAAAAGTGAGGAAAAGTGAGAAGTGAAGTGAGGCCGAGTGAGGTGAAGTGAGGCTGGG